CTGAAAATTGAACGAGATAGATGAGGTATGTTACCGCTCGGCGCGCTTCCACTTTCATTCGCCGCGGTCTCGGTTTCTCGCCAGCTACCTCGGCGATTATGTATTTACCGTCCAGCATTATTTCACTCGCAACAGACGATCCGATCAAAGAAAACCCTTCGAGGTACGACGGAGAAATAAAGGATATGGGATGAAAGCTAGCTAGCTAGCTAGGCGTTGCAGGGTTTGGAACAACGGCGGTCGCGAAATCGCGGAGCGGCGAATCTCGGTCGGGATACAAATGCGCGCACTTGATCTCCGAATTTGAGCAATTTTTTTTATCTCTCGTCATTTTTCTTCGGTCTCTGTTTCTCCTCACCGCGCCAATAAAGACTTCGCGACACTCGCTGCACGGCGCCATACGAAATGATGATGTTAGCGATGAGAAATCGCGAGTAATTTTTTTCGCGTTGAGATAAATCGGCTTTCTTCGCAAGTAGCGGCAGCACTCGCGCGTCGAGTGGACTCATATAAAAGCGTGCCCCGCGCGCGAACTTGCTTTCTCTCTCTCTCTGACTCTCTCTCTCTCTCTCTGACTCTCTCTCTCTCTCTCTGACTCTCTCTCTCTCTCTGACTCTCTCTCTCTCTCTCTGACTCTCTCTCTCTCTCTCTGACTCTCTCTCTCTCTCTGACTCTCTCTCTCTCTCTGACTCTCTCTCTCTCTCTCTCTCTCTCTCTCTCTCTCTCTCTCTCTCTCTCTCTCTCTCTCTCTCTCTCTCTCTCTCTCTCTCTCTCTCTCTCTCTCTCTCTCTCTCTCTCTCGCTCCCTCTCTCTCCCTCTCCCCCCCTCTCTCTCTCTCTTTTGGTTCATGAATTTGTAAGTAACTGTAAAACCGCCCGCCATAAAATCGAATCAACTAAGCGTCGTAATGAATTCTATACTCCCATCGCCGATGTACTCCGAGTCGAAATCTTGGCTATATATTAATCCTGCGAATTTTCCGTCGTGCTTGAAGGAGCAATAGAGAATCTCAAGATACCAACGCTTTAACGTTCTATTGCTCTCTCCTGATGCCGCAAATGTTTGTCGACATTTTCCCCGACATTGAATCTTGAAACAATACAGTTAAAAATTGCTTGATATTCGATTATCTCAATATTCCGTACATGTTCAATCGTCCTTCGTAATTTCGATGAGCGATTAACTTACTTTATTTCGATGCGGACAGAAATGTGCATTAAGCATACTTTTACGCAAGCAAAGATTCGCACGGAGCTAGGATTATTATAAATAAAAAGCCAGAAATAAATAACAAGATTAAAGGACAAATGGAATGGCGACCTGATTTTATCCACAATCTCTTTATTATCACCTTTCTTCAGTGTTGGCAATCTCCGCAGGATTTGGACACTCGAAAAGGATGAAGGGAAAAGAATTGCAAGAATTGTAAAAATAGCGCTCCTGCGCTCGATAATGCTGTGCTGAGGTGTACAAATTTAGACTCGACATAAATAACAAAGCTAAACAAAAGTGAAGAAAGAAGAGGTGTCATCAGATTCAAAACGGAATCTCTTTCGCTCCAAGGAGTTGTAACGACAATTTTACTGACGCTAACAATAATGCGATTCGATTGGTGAAACGCGCGCGAATTAACGCGATATTGACGATAATCCGATGGAATATTCCAAGGGTCGGCGAAATATGTTAATCATTCGACGTGCAATTGCGTATGTCGCGGTACAAATACGATCGAGACGTATCGATGCGATTATGAAAAAGCGCGCGACAGCACGAGTGTACTCAAACAATCGGCAAAAAAGGTCAAGTCGTGCTCCAATCAATGACGCGTACGTCATCATAATCTCCGCGAGATCAAAACAATCCACGCGCGCAAAACATTCCGTGAGTTCTATTTCGAATTTACCAACGATGTACATTTCATTGAAAGATTTATTGTTATTGCATCGAATCCAAATTTAAATCTTTACTGCTGCCCGTACACACGCAAATGTGCCGTTTCTATTCTTGATATTGTCCTCCTTACCACCCACCCCTCCCGATTCCCTAAATCCAAAAATTTCAATCATAAATGACGATAAGCCAATGATGACAAAGGGGGAAGTTTGTTATTTCGTTTATCCGTTAATCCTGCTATTTGTCCGCACTAATTATTTGATATTTGCGTATAATCACGCATGCTCTACTTGAAGCCGAACAAGTTAACACATGTAATTAATATTGTTTATTGGAACGAAGAAAATATCAAATGCAGATGGAACATTGAAATAACCGAATATTAAATAATATTCCGATGTTGAATGTTTCTTGGAGCGTATCAGCTTGGAGAAAATGGCAGTGACTATCTGTAAGTAGTCATCAAAGAAATGACAATAGCCTATTGTTAGGTTGCGAAATTCTTCATCGGTCCCTCATATTCGACGGAATCCGAAGAATCAACGTAAAAGCAAAATTTCGATTCAGGGGAAACTTTCTCCCAAATTTAATTTACGAGTCACCATTAGCAAAATATCGACACAGGAGAAACTCTCTCCTAAATTTAATTTACGAATCACTACCATTAGACTGCCACCCTAAATCGACGATCAAATATCAAATTAAGGAAATTTTTAATTCGATATGCGCGACGACGACAATTCCCGGTCGGTTTAAACGGGTCAATGCGATCAGCAAGACGAGTACGTAACATCGACGTGATTAACTACAACAACAATTGTGTTACAGCAATACGCTTTAATTGCGAGCGATGCTATCTAGTGATTAATTTTATTCGGAAGCGGCCAGGCGACTGAGAGGGAGGGGGGGGGAGGGAGGAGGCGAGTGTGGGCACGGGGAACAGAGGACAACGCCGTTAATTCGATAAATTAATGATGCTTTAGTAGACACACACCTTGCTAACGAGGATCCATTGTTCGCGATATCAAAAGAATCCTCGAATGACCATCCCGTTATCGAGCGCGGCGCGATTCGCTAAAAAGACGAGAAAGAAACGACCTATTGTTTATTTTTCCTCCCCATTCGTTAAACAATTCGCACGAGACACCGGTGTTAATTGGCGCGCCCCTAAGTCGCATTCGCACACACGTACACACGCCCCGCCGGATATGTTGTTATTGTTTAAGTGGAGTACGGGTCTTAATTAAATATGAACGCCTTTTCGCCGCGTCCTTATACGTTATACAATACAGCCCCGTCGCTAGAGCAGGGAAAATAAAAAGAAGAGAGAAAAGAGAGAGAGAGAGAGAGAGAGGAGAGAGAGAGAGACAAAGAGAGAGAGAGGGGGGAGAGAAGGGAGATAGAAGTCTGTAGTAACTGTGAATATATTCGTGTCCTCGTAGGCATTAATAAAAAATCGTTTACATCAGAAATACTCGTGAATCGAATCAGTTTTCTTTTCGAGAATAACTCGCCGTGATATCGATCGTTCAAGGGCGCGACAGACGGCGGTGTCCGCCGTGTATGTATATCTAATGCTTCGTCGGTGGTGAAATAATAACGCGCCTCGCGAACACGCGAAAGGCACACACCGAATGCACCTCTCTCTCGTCGTCGCGAAATACAATTTCGTGGAGAAAAGCGAGAATCTGGCGTCGCGCGGAAATACCGTCGCACCTCCTCCGCCGCGGAGTGCGCCGAGGAATTCGCGGGAGGAAATCGCGGCGGGGCACTCGCGGCCCCCGGGGGAAGCGCGTACGCGCGCTCGGGGGATGCACGCGGCTCCGAATCGCGAATTCGCAGGCGGATTTGCGTGTCGCGAGCGCCGGAAATGCACCTAGTAAATGTACCGTCGGCGCTAAGCGCCTTATCTACGACGCGCAGCGACCACAGACGTCGCGTAATCCGCGTCGAATTTCGCTGACTGTATTCGCGCGGTGCGGCGCGGCGCGATGCTGACTGTATCATCGCGGGATATCCCGGAGTATCGACACCCTTTCGCCCCAAATCTTCGATATAATCAGTGACTCGAATCGAAAATGCGGCTGATTTCGTGTCTCGATATTGCGACGCGTCGCGCACATATAATAATAAATAAGTGTAAAAAAATAACATAGAAAAGAACGAAACGACGAGACGAAAAGGAGAAACAACGTTATGTCGCCGGATAGCAATTAGAAGTAAAGCGTTTTTAAAGCTGGTCCTTCCTCCGAATCTTGAATATTTGATAATTCAAATAAAAGATACGGATAATTTCACGGCAATATTGCGAATTATAATATCGAGTGACGTATAGGTGATATAATAATCAAGTGTGAAATAACAATAGGATAAAATAGAAGAAACACAAAGTTGTCCCACGACGGACGCATTGTGTGCGACGTAAAAGTACCGATTTATTAAGTATCCTTCGTCTCTGGTCTCAGATAATTAATAATTTAAATCGATGGTATGAATAATTTCGCGTCAATATTATAATAATATATAGCATCAATAAAATACAATATCGATTATATATATACATAACGTGATAATTATTCACGAGTGAATAACAATGTGGGAGAACAGAAGAATGTCGTCATCGGATGCACCGTGTATAAAGTGATCATACACACCAGTTTCTTATATATGATCAGTAATAAACATATCCAGAAAAAATAATGTATTTTTCGCAGATATAATAGCGCAGATATAATTTTGCGCGTAAACATTTTACACCCTTCCCATCGCTTGAAATAAGCGCTCGTCAATGTAAACAACGTAAAAATCCTGACGGCATCATAACAACTCCCATAAAAAAAAAAAAAAAAATATCTGCCTCAAGCCTCAGCATTCACGTGAATTCCTCACATTGTAAACATGCTTTCTTTGTGCCTCGATGTAGCGATTCACATACCATGTCTCATACTTTTAAACGTGACACGTCAAACGCGATGTGAAATAAGAAAGTGATCGGATATATTCGCGCATTCGAAACGGAAATGCGATTAGGAAACCGGTAAACTGAGGATGCAGCAGATGCTGGCCGGAAGTCCGACCGTCAATGTATTCGTACAGTTAGTACTCACCGGCTATCGAGCGGGCGACGTGACAGCGCAGCAGGTAGACGACGACGAGCAACATCCGCTGGAGTCTCATCCTCTCTGTCTGTTCTCGGCCGGCCGACTGGACCACGACCAGGGTGGAAACACACGTGAACACCCCGCGACGACGGCACGTCAGGCGGTGCTTGTCTCACGAGCGGTGGTCACGTTGGCACACTCACGTTGTGACGCCGCTGCACAACCCGACGTCGCAAAACACGAGAACCGTCGCGGCACGCAGGAGGGGGCCAGGAAGCCAGGAAGGAAGAAGGAAGGAAGGAAGGAAGGAAGAAAGGAAGGAAAGAAGGAAGGAAGGAGCGAGCTTACGCGAATTTCGACGTACAAATGCGCGCGTCCGACGTCACGATGCTCGCATCCTCGCGCCGCGCACTTCGGAGTCTGACTGAGCGGCGAGCCAATCGCCACGGCGAACTCCACTCCGCCGCGCAGCGAGTCGGCGCAGCCGCCGCGTCCCTAGGCCAATCACGCGCGTCGACGGCGCCACGCGAGCATGCGCACCAATTCGCCGCCGTCTGTAGCCGAAACGGCGGATTTTTCATTCGCGCGAATCGACTAATATTCGCAGGCACTTTCAAAGTTAAAATTGAGGGATTCAGCGCGACGAGCGCACCGTTTTAATCTATTTTTCGTCAGAATCGGCGGAGATTAATCTCGAAACTGCAAATATGGCGCGCTCGAATTAATTTCCGCCCGTGTTCGCGAAACAGCGAATTGAATCACGCCTGGGAAAGCGCTGGGAGTCCTTCGTTTGAAAATTCATTTATACATTCAAAGTTGTACAACTGTCAAGTTGTAGCACGACATTTCAAAGTTAGGTATTTAACTTTGAACAAACTAAGGAAAAGAGTCCGTAAACGAAAATAGCGCGAGCATGATGAAAATAAAATAATAAATAAAATTGCGTAAAAATAATTGTTGAAAAATTATTTACAGAGCGTCTGTTGTTGCTATTATTACAATAACTACTTCTTCGTTAGAATGTTACTTGGAAAGCAAAAAAACCACCCAGCTGCCGAAACCCGGGATTGAACCGGGGACATTTAGATCTTCAGTCTAACGCTCTCCCAACTGAGCTATTTCGGCTCGTGGTAGCGACTATCGCTAATACTGTACAACCGGCACAGTTTCAATCCTGTGATTTATTAACAAATATGAAATTTCATATAAAGATAATATTATTAATAAATTATGCGAATGTTAAAACAAGAAATTTCTACTTCGCAAAAAATTAATATTGTGGCCAAAATATTATGCCAATTAATATTAACTGCGAAATTTTTGTCTCGAAATTAATTTAATTAAATTTCGATTCTTCTTACATTCTTTCGTTCAACATCTTCAAAAGTATATATTTTGAATTTAGAAAACATTAACATCAGTTACGTCAAGTTTCTAAATTTTCTCGAAAGAGACGCATTATGGTTTGTACAAAAAAGCACTGAACAGAGAAGAAATATTACTGCTTTAATAAGAAGAGCATATCCTTTTATATAATTTATTAATTTATGAGAATAATTTATGAGAGAGGATAACCTCAATTATCCAACCTCGATTATTGGTTATTGCAGAACAAATTTGTAGCGCTGTGGGTCTCATTCGAAATGCTCCTCGAGATATTTCCTCGTATCCTTCGAGGTTCGACTGATTGATAGCCAATGCACGTTGCAAAAACGCGCGTTCTATGAAATGTATTCGAGGTTACTCGGCAGGGACAGCGAAGAGAGAGAGAGAGAAAGAGAGAGAGAGAGAGAGAGAGAGAGAGAGAGAGAGAGAGAGAGAGAGATAGAGTCGTTTTAATTCATGGTCGTGACTCGAGAAGGATTCGTCTGGAAACAGCTTACAGGGCCGATACGAAAGATACTTTGTATATCGCGGTACTAAAAAGACACGATGAAAATAAAGATACACGCACACACACACGCAATAAAACGAGGAGAAAATTTTAAAGCGTAGAAAAGAATAAAAGCATACAAGTACAGAAGTACGAATCTCCGATTTTCTTTCTCTCTCCCTCTTTCACTCACTCTCTCTCTCTCTCTCTCTCTCTCTCTCTCTCTCTCTCTTTCCCCTCCTATCCGCTATTCCGCTCAATTGCGCTTTTCGTATTTCGCCGTTTCTTCTTGCTTATTGAAGCGTACGTTTCGTTTCGTCTCGCGCATGAGAAGGCTAACGGAGAATACGATTGCAAAGATCGAAAGGAAAATGCATATGTTATTTCCGTCACCTCGATCGTTTCTCGATCGTTCGATCGCTCGCAGGGGGCGAGAACACGTTCGAACATGCAACGGAAATGCGATTACATGGCGGGTATGTTATGAAAATTATACGCCTAACGCCGTGCCTGTAATTTTGCGATACCTGTTAATTTGCTTCCACGACGATTGTACCCTACCGGCTGAACACGTCGCGGCGTATTCTATCCGCGTATCCTCATATTTCCCGCGGGAATTTTCCGCTCAGAACGTCGCCAACGCCGTCGGATTCGGTCGGACGCGCGTCTTAGCAAACTCACGTCGCTCCCGTGGGGCCCGACGGAAGGAAATCCGTTTATCTCGCATATGGGGCCCCAGTCGCGCGTGTAACGATCGCGACGCTCAGCGAGGAGAGAAACGCGGCGACGAAGACGGCCGCATAAAACGGGAAAAAGAAAACGGAAGACGAAGGACATGTCGACGAGGTCGCGCTGTCGGCGTTCTCTTCCTGGCCGGAACGCACTGAACTTGGTCGCCGGTGCGCGCCGATCGACGCGCCACAGCCGTCAGTCGTGTGTCGGACGTGCAGCGTGACGGATCGCGGATGTGAGCGCAGCGTACGCGAAGGAAGAGCAATTTGGCAGTTGGCAGTCATCGCGCAACAGCTGCTTCGTACGACTCGCGCCACACCGCTCGCTCGCTCGTCATAACATCATCTTCCATCCTGACGCGTCGGAGAACAGCACCGAGAAGCGAACGCGACGAATTACCATGGCCAATTTGAGGCAAACACCGTTGACGTGCAGCGGTCACACACGGCCCGTGGTGCATCTCGCTTTTTCCGACGTCACCGAATCCGGTTATTACCTGATCTCAGCGTGCAAAGGTACGACGAGGTCGCGGTCGTGGGGCTTACTCGGACAGTCGCGTGCGTGCACCACGTCCTCTTGGTGGATTTTCCCTTTCGGTCGTTCGATCGCGACGTTCGATTCTCGATCGCCTTGGCCCAATTCCCCTCGCCGGCGGGCTCCAAGGCTCCCGTAAACTTCGAGGTTAGACACCGCGTGCTCTTGACGATTCCGCTGCTTCCGCGAGTTCGCGCGACTAACGCAGCGACGGCGGCGGCGGCGGCGGCGGCGACTTTTCGTATGAATTTTCCACGAAACTCGGACTCGCGTCGTGTGTGTTGTGTACGATGACTCGTCGATGTTTCGTCGTACTCACACGCCATCGCGCAGAAAATGATCGATCGTGTGCGGACATTATCGCGTAACTGATGACGAGAGGAACGCGCACCTTAATTAGGATTAATATTCGCGAAGAGTTTGGCGAGTAATGCAACGTATTAACGTCTTTTTTTTCATACGCATCGCATAGATATTATGACTGATCGCAATTTATGTGTTATGTTTCGTGTGGCATCGTGGACTACAGCAAACTGATTAAATGATCAAGATTTATATTCGCCATATCTTATATATATATATATATATATGTTTTGTGTAATATAAATATAAATGTTTCTATGAAACTTAAAATGTATTCTATCACTATCACATTATATCGTCTGTTACTGCAAATTATTGCATTGGCTGATATGTTATTGTTTATATTTATGAATTTCGGATATGCTTGATATATCTCCCTCCATTGATATGTTTCCTATATGTATCATACGATATGTTTAATTGATGTAAATTGCATTAAATACAAAGGAAAGCAATTTTTTTATTTTCTCTTTCAGATGGCAAACCTATGTTGCGACAAGGCGACACTGGAGACTGGATTGGTACATTTGAAGGACATAAGGGAGCGGTTTGGGGTGTAGCGTTAAATCCACAAGCTACTCGAGCTGCAACTGGAGCAGCTGACTTTAATGCTAAAGTTTGGGATGCAATTAAGGGGGAGGAAGTACATTCTTTTCAACACAATCATATAGTTAAGTCTGTCAACTTCAGTACAGACTCCAATAATCTATGTACTGCCTCCAATGAGAAACTAGTGCGCATTTATGACCTTAATAAACCAGAAGAAGCACCGCAGGTAAGTGAAGTAATATAGTTTGACAGAGATCAGATAACTGACAAAGTGTATAAAAAAGAAATGGGCCATTTAGGATAGTTTAATCAATATCCAATTTTTTCTTTTCTTTCTAAAACATTATCTATTTTATACCTCAAATTTTACTATCTCATCTTGGTCAAGAATGACAGCAACTTTATATGTTAATAATATGCAGAAAATTAAATTTCTTGTTAACATCACTTTTTGTCGACATTACAACCTATTATATTTTGAGTTGCAAAACTTGAGAGCTTTTAAATAGTGTTGAATCATACTGTCGAAAGTAAAAAATACCTCCAGCCTGCTGTTGTATCGTATTACGAGTTTAATTTTTTATCAGAAATTAGAATTATATTAGGTGTACAAATTAATTCCTTGCTTCTTTTGCAAAATTCAATATTTATTTATAAAAATACATAAGAGACTAATCAGTAAAATAATCTCCATCGTTTTCAACAATCTTAAGCCATCTATTGGGCAGCTGATAAATTCCACTGCGATAGAAACTTGGCGGTTTTGAGTCAATGAAATCATTAATGATTTTTCGGATGTCTTCCAATGTTTTTAGATGTGTATCAGTTAAATGGTGTTGAAGCAATTGAAACAAATGGTAACTTGAAGGGATCATATCTGGTGAATATGGCACATGTGGGAGAATTTCCCAACCCAATTCTAAGATGACTTTGTGGATCTCTTTTGCAGTGTAAATGTTGTCATGTTGCAAAATGACTTTTCGATATCCTTTATCAGTAAAAGGTCTCTTTCGCTCTAATTCATCGCTCAGATGGATAAGCTGTTGCTGATAGTGATTTGCATTTTCTGCCTTTTCTGGATTTACTAGTTCATAATACACTACGCCTTTAAAATCCCACCACATGCAGAGCAAAATCTTCTTAACATTGATGTTAGTCTCAGTCAATCTGCGAGTTTGATTTTTTTCCAATTTTCTGCGTTTAGGATTATTATACATGATCATCTTTTCGCTACCTGTGATAATATTGTGCAAAAAATCCTCCCTTTTCATCCTACTTAGCAAAGACACAGCAATATCATGCCGATGTTGTTTGTTATCCTGGCTCAGCATAAGAGGAATCCATCGACCTTCTTTTCGAAACTTCCCCAGTTTATTTAGTCGATAGACAATGCACGCTTGGCTAACTCCGAGTTGGAAGGCAAGTTCGTGTTTTGTTTGCGTTGGGTTTTGATCCAGTAGCTGTTGCAGTTCCTCGTCTTCAAATTTTTTATTTCGGCCGGGGCTCTCTTGGTATTTGGTAAGGGCAAAATCTCCTCTATTAAATCTCTTATACAAATCATTACAAGTCGTCTGAGTCACTGCGTTTTTACCAAGAGCATCACAAATCATTTCGACGGCTTCTGCGGCGTTCTTTTTTAGCCGAAACGCAAAAAGAATGCAATGCCGAATATGTTCATTAAAATCCATCTTGTACAACACTGTTTTTAGGTTGTGTTGCCCGACAGCCACTAACTGCTCGTGTACTTGTAGGCTGCGCGTTCCTATTTCGCTGCTAGCATTGAAAATCTATAGTATACGCGACGCAAACTATGGGACCAGTGTTGGGAATGGGTGAGGCACGCGCATGTGTAATGAAATTGGAGGGAAACCAGTAACGTACATATATGAATAGCAGTTCTGGCGGGATATTTGTAAAATGCCGAGTACGTCGCGCATGCGCATAAAATCTCACCAATTCGCATCACTGAACGGCACGGAATAGTCTGTTCTTTTTAGCTACAATAAGTTAGAGTAAGACAACTATATTCTTTTTCACTCGGACTTATCGTACTAGTTTAAGTAGTTTCTGACTGTAATTTTCGACTGTAAGTGGTTCGAAATTCAGCTGAGAGACGTTTTTAGTTCTGTAGTCTGCATTACGAGTCGCTATCTTTGATAAGAAATTAAGCATGTGATACGACACAACGAATGATCGAATATACGTACATTTATTTTTTAAATATTCTGTTGAATTTTGTTTTATTTTTTATGATTGAGACAAGTATAGTGTCTCGTATCCTGTTAATTTATTTCAACCATACATAATAATAAAATATGCATAATGTAAAAATGAATCCACTCGTGATCATTGAGTAAATAATTTGAAAATAAAAAACCACTTTCACTGTGGTCAAATGATCTTTTTACTTTCAAATTGTACGACAAATTGATCGACAGGTCGAAAGTACCTTTATTCCTAAATAAAGTACGACTTAATAATAATAATTTATTAGTAATTAAATAGTGAAGAGGTAAGAAAGTGAGTGCTCAAGATTAATCTTGAATTAAGAAGTAAGATTAGATTAAATGTTAATCAATAGTTTTCGTTACGTATACGATATAATCAATTATAAGAAATCGATACTCTCCTTTTATACATAAAATTATTTGGACGTCGATTTCTTTCCTGAATACCGCCCGTCTCTAATTTGCAACAATTGTATTTCATATAAAGTACTTTCATTTCAGATCTTCTCAGGTCACACGAGTGGTATTAGACACGTCACTTTCTTCGACAACAACTCAGCCTTAGTCACTTGCGCAGATGATAAGACATTGAGGGTATGGGACAGAAATAGTGGGCAAGAGGTGAAGAGACTAGACTTTCCTGCTATTCCAAGTTCGATGGAAGTGTCCAAGGATGGAAAAATCATCACCACTACTCATTCTAACATTGTTACATTCTGGAATAGCAAGGAGTACGTATGATATAACGACGAGATATGATATATCTCTTTTCCTTCATTATAACACTCATTCAATATTGAAATATTAACGCATGATATAAACAAGATTTTAAATATTATATATATAAGAATAATATCCAACTAATAACATGATCTTGCATATGAAAATGGTCTGTATAATCCTCCCTTGAATTCCTCCTTATCTCAGATTAACAAAGATTAAGGAGTTCACGGTGCCCACACAAGTGAACAGTGCCAGCCTGCATCCAGATTGCAGTATCTTCGTGTGCGGCGGAGAAGATTTGAAGATGTACAAATTCGACTACAGCACTGGCGCGGAAATAGGTAAGATTTGGTCTCTTACGTATGTATATAAATCTGTGATTTTCGCGTTAAGGATATAATCCTATAATTCTCTGTCTCTATTTCTCTCTCTCTCTCTCTCTCTCTCTCTCTCTCTCTCTCTCTCTCTCTCTCATCTGATAAAAACCGTGTTTTCAGAATCGTTTAAAGGACATTTCGGACCTGTTCATTGCGTCCGTTTCTCACCGGACGGTGAATTGTATGCGAGCGGATCCGAGGACGGTACACTGAGACTATGGCAGACCACGGTCGGCAAGACATATGGACTGTGGCGTTGCGTTGAGCAGACGCCTGCGATACAAGAGAACATTGCCGTGATTAACAACAAGCAGGAAGTGCCTGCCAATTAAAAGTAACAAAAAACGTCGCTACGAAGCAGACAAAAAGCTTATCGGACACACCACAGTGCGCGAACGCGTTCCCCATCCAATAATCGCCCGAGCGACACGCGGACAAGTCTCTTGGACCAAAATCGAGGAACGAACGAGTGGGAGAAACATTCGCGTCGCGGACACACTCCCTTTTTTTACGGGTCATTTTCTACAATCGGCGGTAATTGTAAATAATATAAACGGATCCTATATCGGAGCCTACTGCTGGAGAGAGTTCGCCCACTTTCGTCGCGCTATACACACACACACACACACACACACACACACACACACACATATACACATACATATATCCAGATAAGGCTAAGAAGGAGCGAGAGGACCAAATACACGCTTTTCTCTCGAAGAGAGCGCATCGTCCGAGCGCGGAGGTACGACGGACATAATCCTTATTTATATTTACGACCGACGAGAGTAAAAGAGACATAGAAAGAGAGAAACGGAGGAGAAAAAGAAACATTAACATTTATTAACATTATACAGTGTCATTATTATATAATACAAAATTAAGGTAGAGGTGTAACGTGAGAAAAAAAGACAAGTTCGGAACGAACATCTTATTCGCATTTCTTATCTCTCTTTTTTCAATCCCCCCCATCTCCTCCCCCAAACTGATGTTCGTCCGTCTAGCCGTTATCTAAACACGCGCGAGGAAGATGCTTGTATCGCTGTGCGACACAGCTACGTGCGACCGAGACGCGACATCGTGCGTTCTCGTCACCACTATTTGTTCTCCACCTGTTGTCTTCTACGCTCTACTCTTCCTCAATCACGACTTCCGCGCGTAATATCACCATCGTATATGTGTAACATGAGATGATAAATTTAATCTCGTTTATTCGCAACACCATACCCGCGACTCTCATCGTTTAGCGCGCTCGGTTTCGTTTTCGTAAAGAGAAAAAGAAAAAAAGGAAAAAAAAAACCGACCGACAATCCTCCTCCGTATCCCGTGCATCCTTCCTCGTGTCTCTCTCTTCCCCCTTCGTCGCTTTCCTCTTCGCTGATGCAATCTGGTTCTTCGTGTTCCGGTAAACCTTATACTTGCGCCTTATCACCTATATTTACACGCCGACAGGTACTATTCTGTTATCTTCCGATGAAGCGTCCCTCACGGGAAGCGTACGATATCTTCTGTTGCGTTTTCTTCGCGCACGGGTTTAATTGATCGATCAATTATTCAGCATCTGCTCGATTAATCGACCGATTAATTAAATTTGAGGATCGGATTTTTGCCGTGCAGTCTCTCTAAGTAAGGCAGTGTGTCTCCTGCGTGTTGTTTATCGGTAAGCAACGAGTTTACACTTTATTAAAGCGCGCCTTTCAGCCGATGAACTGCGACAGGTCGGGCAGCTTGAAGCCGTTGAACGAGGTCGGCGTCGGCGAGCTCCCGAGATTGTTCCGGTGCGACGAGAACCCGGGGAAGCTGTTGCTTGGCGTGGTGAACTGCTGCAGCCTCGCGGTCGTCTCCGTGGCCGCCAGCACGAAGCCGCATTGCGCGGTGCACACGTCGTCCCGCAGGATCGCTTCCCGAGAAGCCTCTCGCAGGAGTTGATTGCAGTCCGTGACTCTCAGAGAGGCACATTGCGTCTGGAAAAAACACGGGAACTGTTAGACTCTCTCTGCATGGAGTCCAATTCCAGTCTAGGATTTCAATCTCGTCGAGATTTAATCATGAAAGTTAACTTTAACTTAATTTCGGAAGTTCAACTTTGGAAGTAGTAAACTTCAGGACTCCAATCTCGGAACTTTAATCTCTCGCGCTGTCTCGTGCACTTTGCGTCATCGAAGTAAACAAAACGAGGTAACAAAAAACGAAATTGTAGATTTTGCTTGAGGAAGATTACTAGACATTATCGCGTGGTATCTGGAGAATGTACTTACACCTTCGGCGGTGCAGACGCAGCTGGTGCAAGGCGTGGGGAAGCCGGACTCGCCGACCGCGACGTTCCTCCCGCCGATCTGACAGCCGTGTCTCGTCTCCCGCCAAGCGGAGAAGTCCAGATGCGGCATCGAGTGGCAGGGTACGCGCGGGTTGAGGAAATTACTCGGCAGGTCGAAGGCCGCCCGCTGCATGTCCGTGTGGTGGTCCATGTTCTCGCACATCACCTTGGCCAGGGTGGTCTTACGGATCTCGGCCAGCTGATGCTCGGTGAAGCGGATGTTCGGGTCGTCGGTCTCGTACCAGAAACGATCGCACTTCCTCGACTGTCTGAACTGAATGGCGATGATGCAGGCAAACGTGGGCCCGACCAGGCCGCCTTGAAGAGGCCTTTCGCTCATGCCACCTGGGAATAGATCAATGTCGTCCACGGAGGCGTATATGCGCTTCATGCGAGCGATCACCTCCGGCGCCATCTCCCTCGAGAGATCCTCGAACGTGGTGGCCCTCTTGAGGTTGCAGAGCGCCCTGTAATGGTTGTATGACGGCAATCCGTGGTCCCGAGCGCGGTGGATGTTCAAGGCGATCAGGTCCACTCCGGAATGCGGTATACCGTGCTGCTCGAACAAGTGATTCGTCACCTCGCCGGTGATGAACTGATCCAACGTCTCCATCGGCGTGGCCACCAGACCGCGGATCATTTCGTCTATCATGTTTTCCTGATAGAGCATATCGGGGTTGAAGAAGCCGTCGCGCAACAGGATAGGCGGGTCGATGTTCTGATAGTTGTGGTCCATGCGCGGCAAATGTGGCCGCAGCAGCGAATGGCCGATCCTGAAGGCTGCGGTGGCGAACTCGTTGAGCACGCTGGGGTTGCAGGTGGGCGAGTACTCTTTGTAGTAGCCCTGCGGCAACAGCTTCAGGCCGTACAGGCTGACGGCGTTCCAGCCGAGGATCCTCGGCAGGAATTCGTTGTAGGTGATGTGCTGCAGCATGGCGCTGATGATACGACGGGTCTGCTGGAACAGCTTCTCGCCGTCCCAATGGAGATTCACCTGCCTCAGGCCTTCCATCACGCGATTGTGTTCACGTATCCACAGGGTGTGCATGACCGCCAACGCCGGTTGCTCGGATGCGCGGCCATCGCCGCCGATGAAGCAGTAGCCGGAGTGCGCTTTACACTCCGGATGCGTCGGCGACTGCGGCAACAGATCCTTGCCGCGCCTCGGATGCGACGTGATGTTCATGCGGCCGTTGAAGCCGCGCAGGATGTTGCAGATGCACGAGTTCTCGCCGTAGACCACCGACGCGTCCAGGAAGCCGGTGTTCTGGTTCACCTGTTCACGTGGGCCCAGGTGCTGCTGGCCCGGTAATGATCTCATGGACGGGAAGCACATGCGCGCGCCCGACGACACGTTGACGGTCGGATAATAGTGGTCACCCGGCGGCACCGGGAACGGATTACACTCCGGGTGGACGGTACGCGGCGAGTCGCACGAGCGGCAGCTGGGTATGGACTCTTGGAAGCCTTTGTGTATGGGCGTCATCGTGAGGTCGTGGTCGAGGAACTGCGCAAACTGCATGACCATGAGCGTGTAGCGATTGTGCAGGTTCGAGATGTCCGGGTGGATAACGGTGGAGACGACTCGTGGGTTCGGCAACGGAGCGCCGCTCACCGAGGTTGCTCTTGGCTTGGACACGCCGTCTTCGTAAGCGGGCGGCAGCAGGCGCGCGAAGGACGTCAGCGACTTGGCGAGCGTGGGATTGCGCAGGTTGTTGCAATGACCCGACAAGGTTCGGTAGGGCGAGGTGGGGTCGCACGGTGAGTCGTCCACCGGGCACTGCACCTCCTCGTGATTCGTCGCCTTATGCTGCGGCAGGAAGCCGGAGATGTCGACGTTCTGCAGCAGGTCGGAGAAGTCGCTGTTGGGGAAGCCCAGCACGTTCTCCGTGCTGTCGAAGATCTGCCGTCTTCGACGTCGCAGACCGTGCACGCCGTTTAGGATCTCGTTAGTCGCCAACTCGTACATGATGGACGAGTTGGCGAGCAGCAAGGCGTCTCTGTTCGCCTTGGAGAAGCTGGCGGCAGTGCCGGTGGGTGACTTCGGGTCGGCGATTCTCTGCTCCAGCCAGGCGTTGTACTCGAGCTGTTTGCGCTCGATCAGCTCCTCCTCCGCTCGCCTCACCGCCGCCGCCAACACGTCAGGACTGATGTCGGGTGTGAGCTTCGTCGTCATGGTCGCGACATGGTTCATGTGATTGTGCTGTAGAGCCGGTAACGGCAGCGGCTCCTCGATCCACGCTGTGATGTCCAGCGGCTCGTATTGCTCGCAGTTGATCTTGCTATTGAGGTACGGGTCCCGCTGAATGAACGCTTTCGGTTGGACCTTGCGGATCTCGGTGTTCGCGCAGAGGATTCCGGCGAGCGACACTTTCCTGATCTCAGCGAGCTGCGCCGCCGTCAAGCCAGACGGCGGGATGTCGTTCTCGTACCAGAAACGGTCGGACTTTCTCATCGTCACCAACTGCTTCTTCAGGAGACACTCGAACGTAGGTCCGACCGCGGCGCCGTTCACGGGAGTCTCCAAGATCCCTCCCACGAGAAGGTCCACATCCTCCAGGTGAGTGTAAATGGTGCTCAGCAGCTGCGCGTGTCCCGGTCGCATCATTCGCGCCAGGTTCGTGAAGTTCTGAATCTGCGAACAGGTTTCAAACGGTTAGTTTAGGATAATTGGTTTAGATATAAAATATAATGTGAAATGGCCATAAGCTATTGGTTTATTATTCTTATTTCTCTCCGCGTAACGTTTATGGATTTTATGATTTATATGAAGCGATTGTGTGATCATTGATGTCAGAGTGAAATTCTATATCTTGTGTGATGCGCGATCGTTGGTTGTAATGGATACGTCTTTATATTTACAAAAGAAAAATAATATCTTTCATATCTCGAGAATTAGTTAAATAATTTCAAATTTTTCGGTTACGTTCTCGGTGAAGCTAGTAGCAGATATCAAGCTACCGCCGCGTGTCACTCGCGTTACTCAACCGTCGCCAAGTTAGTTCTTGACCATCGAGTCTACCCGCCATCTTGAGATTCTTGAACAACCAGCCGGCAAAATTTCCATAGATATTGGCGAACATTTGCATTTGCTCAAATGCACTCGCATTCGCGGTGTTCTCCGGCATTAAGGAAAATCATTCCCGAGCCATCGGCCAATGAGAGGCTGAGCGCTTTTTCGATACTTCTGCGCCGGAAATTCAAAATTTCCCCCTCGAGTCATCCCGATTCATCATCATGATTCATACGATAATCGTCGATCTCGACTCGATCTCGACTCCGCGATATGATAATCGTTTTCATTTTCTCTCTCGAGAAATCCGCTCGAGCGTCCAACTGTGACTGATTTGATGTCACATTTACAGACGTTTCTAATTTCCACCGGCGCTCTCAGCGTCCCCGGAGACCTCGGTGTCTCACGGCGCGGTGATTACCGGAGTATCTCGCGTCATAAATCTACCCTTATCGCGAGTACCTACTTGGACGCTCTCTCCCAAACAGTCAGCCAAGAACTCGACGTATCCGGGTACACCGTGATCCCGCGCCATATGGACGAGTCGGGCAGCCACGTGCGGCGCGGCTGCGAGGTGGAGCCGGTTGGCCGAGGTGGCGACATGACTCTCGAGCTGCGTGTCGTTCTCACCGGCGCTCCACGTCCACGCGAGGGCGCGTAGAGCCGTGAGAGCCACAGCGTCGTAGGTGCCGGCCTCGTTCGATGACGAGTAACCGTGATGGAAGCCGTTGGCGAGCGGCGCGAGCGCCGGGTCGACGAGCGCGGCTTCCCCCAGCACCGCCGGCACGTACTCGTTCAGGGTGACGTGCTGCAGCTGCGCGACGACGATACGGCGCGCCTCCAGGAAGAGCTTCGTGTCGTCCCAGTGCACGTTCGCGGCCGCCAACCTGTCCGCCACGCGATTGTGCTCGCGTAGGAGGACTTGCCGCAGCAAATCGAGCGCGCTCGTCGGCTCGCAGACGTCGCAGACGGCCAGGTCGACTCTGCCGTCCTGGTACGTGCGCAGCTGGTGCAGCCGGTCGTCAGTGGCGCCGTAGACAGCGGAGCCGTCCAGGTAAGCCGACGCGCCGTTCATCTGCTCGCGAACCTCGAACTGGCAGCCGTGCACCGTCAGACTCGGCACCGATCGCCAGTACCTGCTGCAGCCGAACTTGTCGCCGCGCATCTCGTAGCACTCCGGATGCCGAGGAGGCCGTTGCCTGCTGTCGTTCCAGCAGCATCGGTCTCTGCGGTCCGCCGGCTGCACCGTAACGGCGATGTCGCGCAGCACCAGCTCCGACCAGAGCCCGGAGAGACTGGTGAGGCCCTCATGGCTGCCTTCCTCCGTCAAGCTGTTCAGGTGGCTGAGAACCTCCGAGACCACGTCGGCCGACGTGGGCAGGCTGTGGCTGCCCACCGATTCACGTGGCTTGGAGATGCCTGGAATGCAGACTACGTTAGAATCCCGGGGCTCGATGTGTGGTTTTATCGCGTGACCGCGAGTAATTGCTCGCACTGGTCAATTAGCGGAATATTACAATGCGAGCGGTCAAACCGTACCGCCGAGGGTTCAAGGAAAGTTTCGTCGCGAGCACTATTGACACTTATAATAAATGCATTCTTCGATACATTTCTCGAGATCAAGTTGTTGCAGAACATTTACAGCGTCTGATAAAGCATTCGGTAATAATAACGTCGACAACGAGGTGAAGATGGTGATGGGACGACGGGACACGCGAGGAAATTGTTTGAAAATAATTTACAATATTTCTTTTTCTTAAGAGGGGAATTAACATGCGGAGCAGGCCGTTTTTACGTTAAGGCTATTTTTACGAATCTTTTTAACAGAAACGATAGGATCAGTGAACCTGAAATTTTCACGGTGTGTTCATTAATGTTCAAAATATAAAGTAAATTTGTTACCATCTATGTAGAAAGTAAACTAACATAAAACTTTAAACGCGTTTATCTAGAAATACATTTTCTGAAACTATCGACACGATTACGCAAAAATTACTGAACCGAATAACTGGAAATTTTTACACAATAAACAGTGGACATGTAGTTTTCGCCTCTATCTCGAACACAGTTATATTTCATTTTATTCATTTTTTTTTAATATGATTACATGTTGAAAAAAGTTTCGATATATTTCTTTGTGCAGTCATTATTTCTCCAAATTTGGCTCTACTGCCTTCATTTTGGTACCGGCTACAAAGGCAACCGTTTATTTTATAAATCTTCCTCATTTTTGGGTCCGGAATTATATCGACAGCAAACACAGAGCTCGCAAACGGCTGACTGTATTTTTATCTATAATTACAAATTGGATCGGTTCTCAATAAAATTTATTTTATACTTTGAACACATTAATGAATACACTGTGGAAACTTCAAGTCCATCTATCTTACCGTTTCTGTTAAAAAGATTCGTAAAAATAGCCTTGGAAACGGCCTACCGCATGTAATACCTCCCTTAACGCGTAATTCCCGAATATTTCATGTCGGAAGGATTAGAGACATCGCGCAACTCCTCTCGAATATCTTTCACGGTAGACGTCGAATTTTGGTCGTAAGAGAAAATGTGTTTTCCGGGCAGGCAACTTTCGTCGTTCGATCAACCGTGCTTCTCTTCGTTTTCTGTTACTCGCCGCGGGCAGGAACGATTCCTTCTTTCGACGCGCACTACTATCGAGGCGATCACGACTCTCTCCTCGTGTAAGGGCGAGTGGCGTTAATGAGAATTAAACTACGTCCGCCTCCTAAGTACATACACGAGCGTTCGCGCCGAAAGAGAAGGAAAACACGATCTTATCTAGGAAAAGCAGGCGAGAAGAGAAGGTAGGTAGGTCTGTGCTTTTGTTTGCACATACACAGAGAGGGAGAGAGAGAGAGAGAGAGAGAGAGAGAGAGAGAACCGAGCGAACCCGACGAAGGGGAATTTACAGATTGACAACTGGAACAACCGGAGAACCGGTAACTCGCGATACGACTCGGCAGAGAAAACTGAAACGAATGGAAACAAATGTTTCCCCTCGGTTTCGGCAACGATGCAAAGTGAGTCTCTCTCTCTTTCTCGAGAGAGAGAGAGAGAGAGAGAGTGCCACCGAGCGAGCGACGTGCATCGCCCGGTCTAGAAAGTGACGACGAACTTATCGACGAACGTACGAAATGCCGGCTATCACGGGATAATTGACGGGATCACGAGTACAGCGAGCCGTAATAAAGTGGATCGTTCCCGAATAGAAAGCAGCAGCGCGCGCGCTCGCGCGAGATGTGGCACAATGGAAACCGAAGGTTCGGCATTACGCGCCGGCCACGAGGCGCGATTATACAGCATTGACGTAACGATATCGGGATTCCGACACTGGATACGTCGTTCCAGCCTCCTCCACGGCGTCCCGGATCCGAGCACGTCGGCCTGATTGAGTAAGCGAAATCTCCGTGAATGTATGTTTCTCAGTTTTGCAGAATCGATTAACTCCACGAATCCGACCGATCGACGGACGTATCCGAGCGACGTTTGAGAAATCGTCCATGTTATTTCGGCCACGTAGCACAAACCGACGGTACTGGTTTCGAAAAGCCTCTCGGACCTCTCGGAAGATTTGTACGGAGGATCGCCGAGGCGTCTAGTTACGTATGCGTCAATCCGCCCGCCGGGCGCGTGACACGCTGATGAAATATTCAAACGTTTTTTCCCTCCCTTTTCTTCTCTTTTTATTTATTTATTTTTTTTTTTTTTTTTTTTTGGTAAATACTCTACACTCCGCGCGGATCGCGCGCGAGCGGACGTGGCGCGAGCAAATTTGGTCGTCGCATCCCGCGCGCGATTCGTATGCAGAGATGCGCGATGAGTCACGCGGATGTTACCGGCGAGTGAGTGACGAGAGCCCGAAGGCGGCTCTACGTGGGGTCTCGAAAAGTGCAATGTGTGTCAAAATTCTGTGTCATGGTTACGCACAAGGCGTCGCTCTTTAATGACCACGCGGTAAGTGTTACACGACACGGCGGAGGCGCTTCTTCTTCTTCTTCTTCTTCTTCTTCTTCTTCTTCTTCTCTTTCTCCTTCATCTTCATCATCGCCATCATCATCATCATCATCGTCATCTTCCTACACGCGACAAACACAGCCTTTTAATTAACGACGCGACGCACCGAAGACAACTCCACGTCGTCGCCACGTATCGACGAGGATGACGGAGCGCGTTTGCGCGGAGGATCGGCGCTCGTTTCTCGCGCGCCCGATGAGAGATTCGTCTAACGATCCCGAGGAGGAGAAAAAGAAAAGGAAGAAGAAGATCCGCAAACACTTGAAAAACTGTTCCAACGGAACAGCTCGTCCGCGGCCTTGTTCCTAATTGCGACGGTAGACTCGCGCGCGCGAGTCATCTACGGGGACGAGCTTGGGAAGATTTCCCTTTAAATATCGCCGTTAACCTGCCGCGCGAGGCGGCATCTCACCTTTTCATTACTTCTGGTTAACACCGCGCCGCGTGCAGATGGATTTCACGTTGAGTTTCGCAATTGATTATGTCCAATATCCGTGTCTAATATTTCCTTTCAATGTTCCCCGCTGCACCTCATTCGTGTCGCGCGAATGCGCGCGCGGGCGAATCGAAGCGAATGGGAAATAATCAATCGCGAGATTCTGGATAAACTGCGGTAACTCTTCATCCGCGAGACGACGACGACGACGACGACGACGACGACGACGACGACGACGACGACGACGACGCCAGCGTCTTCTCGCACGAAAAAGCTGCAGGCGAATAATTTCAACGAACGAACTACGTTTCCGCGAATATTGCGCGCGGTGGAAATATACGTTCGACTTTCGTCGAGCGAGCGAGCAACTTCGAATGCGGCGAGTTTATTTAGTAACGAGGTGTTGGCTTTGGAATTGTTAACGCAACAGGCTGAACAATTTTCGCTCCTTGCCGCAATTAATTCAACCGCGCACCGATAGATGTAAAACGGCGAGCTTCCAGCAAATCGGTTGGCGTGAAATTTTTAGTAACGACCGTTACCGTCCGCGTGTTGTTATCCAGAATTATTTTACGAGCTTTTACCGATATTTTGCGCATTTACATAAATTTCTGAACATTATATAAGAATTCAATTAATTTCGGACATGTAATTATACATGTTTGAACGATTCTCCTCGGTTTTTACTTCTGTTCTCTCTCTCTCTCTCTCTCTCTCTCTCTCTCCTCCTCTCTCCTTCCTCTTTCCGCTCGTGTATCACGATTATGCTTCCGTTTATGAGAAGGAGCGCTTCTCTGGACGATTGTTTTGCGATCGCTTGAGCGTAATGAAAATTTACGGGAAGGCGTTCAGTGACCATCGCGGTATTTTGGGGTCAGCGCGGCGTCGAAAGGCACCGTGTGGCAACCACTGCCCAGGAGACCAGAGTCACTTTCTTCGGTCTTCTCACTTTCATATTTTCGTTCGGATTCTTTTCCCGGAGATGGGCGCCAGCAGCAGCTGCCTTTCCCTCTCTTCCTGCATGCGAGGAATATCGCCGAAAGTTCGACCGGGCGAGATTCGATAATACGGATCTTTTCTTCTTTTACTTCATTTCGCTGAATTAAGTCGCGTGAATAGCACGCACGAGAAGCACTCGCGAGAGTTAATTGGAGTTAGAAACGGCTTCGCGATATACCATCGCGATATCGATACTTCCTATACGATAATTGATGATTCCAGCAACAATAAATCTGCTCTCGCGTACATTTCCATGCGAGTTACTTCCACTTACCGTCGTAATAACGGCATTAAACGCGATTCCCGATGATTATTGTATAATTCCATTAACATAAGATAAATTTCCCGACGTTAGAAAGATCGATAAATACGAACACTTGCAATTTCGTTACGAGGAGTAAGAAAGATGTCTCTCCCGTCTCTCTAAAATTCTCACTTCTACGATAAAAGAATACAGCTCGCGATTGATCCCCTCTTTGGACAATCCGCAATTCGTAACGATCACTTAGACAATAATAATTCCCTGTGAATCAAGTCGCACAGAAATAACAAAGGTCCGAGAAATCAGCGGCGAAGTGAGCCGTCACGACGAGGAGGCGCACGAGCGCGAGACTGGGAAAAGGATTTTTCTCTCCGGAAAAACAAACGGGAGACGAGAGAGAGAGAGAGAGAGAGAGAGAGAGAGAGGTGGAGACGAGAGAACACGGTGTAACGGTGTGTTACGCGGTGCGAGCACGTAACGGCCGATACAAACGATCGGATCGCAGGTAGAATTCTCTATTATTTTATAGCGTGCGCGCTCGCCGATGTCGCAATCGATGTGCACGTAGAGCGCGCGACGAGCAGACTCTCTATTTCATTTGAACGGGCCTCCTCGTGCTCGCGCGTGCCTTGTCGCATGCTAATCCTCCTTTTCTAAAGCCAAGGCTTCTCCGTCGGTCGAGCGTGCCGGCAGCGGCTCGTAGAAATGGATCTAGGCTCGCCCCGTGGCGTTTAAGCTAGCACGCGCGTTCCAATTTTCACTTTCCATTCGCGCGAATGCGATGCGATATGACACGACGCGATGCGATGCGGCGTGACGTCGTCGTCGTCGTCGTCGTCGTCGTCGTCGTCGGTGGCCGCGGTGATGCGCGCTCGTCGATTCCGGTAAACGTTAATTAATTGCGGTCGCGTGTCTCTCGAAAGCAGCTCCACGGCGGAAGAACTTGAAGGCTTTTTATTATCCGTATATTCCTCTCGGGCGGCCCGCGAGGAACTCGTCTTTTTCCCCTTCGGGAACGTTCCAACGGCGTTCCAACGTTCACTTTCTGCTCTCGACTCGATAGCTGTGCGATACAGACCGGAGATGAACGCTGTGATAATGTGGCTTATTTCCACGAATGTCAACGTTAATCGAGATTTAATTTATTCTCTCGGTTTCCTTTCTCTCTCTTTCTCTCTTTCTCTCTCTCTCTCTCTCTCTCTCTCTCTCTCCTCCCCTCGCTTCGCGGCAAGTCAATTATTACGCACTCGGTGAGCACATCGGCCGAATTCAGACGCGAGTTAATTGTCCACGTCCGTGCATTCCGTCAAACTTTGCAATTTTCAGTATACCAAACATGCCTTCAGATGTCAGTTATAGTAGGGGTAGGGGTAGGGGTAGGAACAGGTCGCGTGCAAAAGATGGAGATACATTCTTAAAGTAGAAACTTCAAGCGTCATTTTGAAAATAAAAAAAGATCATTAGTCTACAATAATTTTCCGCGAAGTAATCGCCAGTCAAAGTTGGCGAATTTTCGGCAATAAAAATCTATCTATGCCATAATTCTTTCGAGCGGTGTATTTCGCGCGCGACTTTTCGTCTCTCGCTCGTTACGACGAACCACTGCGACAGAATGGAAGAACGCTCCCTGACAAGCCGAACGATGCTTTCTTACCGTCCGAATACGCCGGAGGCAGCAACTTGAGGAACGGCGAGCCCCTGGCACCCCAGGCAGGATGTCTCACGTTATTGCAGACACCGGAAGGCGTCCTGTATTTGCTCGGTGGACAAGGCCTCTCCGATCGCACCCTGCATGGTGCGTTCGCCGACTGTATCCTGTTTGCCGGTCTGAAAAGAGAAGAAGGAATTCGCTCAAACGATCGTCGCCCGGAGCTAGTCGGTGGCGGTGGGAAAAGCGTTTATTTCCGTCTTAAGACAGGCTCCCTAAGGACACTCGAGAAAAGTCTAGAAATGTCTAGAACGCGTAGTTGCGCACGCGAGTGAAATTACACATTTTTCTTCTCCTCCTCTCCGCGACAAACCTGCAGCCGAGGTGTGAAAAAGAAAAAGGAAAAAAAAGAAAAAAGAATAGACAAAGGGGCGAGATATCTAACGAGATATCTTCGGGTGCAGATAAGCTAACAATGTTAGCAATATTCCAGCGATTCTCCGTGGCAGGTCCGCAGCCATCGCTGCATCCGCATCAAGCTCATGCTCCTGCTGACCTAATTTGACAGGCGACTGGCGGCAGAAACCGCACGAGCAGCGTCTGCAGTAAGATCCATTTAAACGGCAACCGGAACGGCGCGGATCGACCCCTTCCGCCGTCATGCTTCACCGACAGATCCTCTTGTTCGCGTCTGTAGCGGGCTGCCGAGGTGAAATTAACAACAAAGACTCCGCAGCAGCAAGGGGGGATCCACTGGCGCAGGACTGCTGCGACGTCCGAAGCGATCGCGCGATCGCGGGAAAGCCGAGCGATGCCGAGAGAGGCGCGGCTGCGGCAAAAGCGTCCGCCAGACCAGAAGCGCGTCGCCCCGAGCGAGCGCGAGCGCGAGCGTCCTTCCTGCTCCATTTCCCCCTTTTTCTCGCGCGGTCGGCACCTCGACGCGCGCGCTTTTACTTTCATGGCCGAGGAAAGGAGTCGCGCCGCGACGGTGGCCGGCTGGCCGAGCCGCGAGCGGCTCGGGGCCAGCCGGCCACCGTCGGCATTTCAGTCACGAGGAAGGTTTCTCGCGCACTACCATTGCCGGCGGTATTCCCTTTCCTCGACCTCGAGAAGGCTGCCGGTCACGGTAGCGCAGCGCGATGTGTATGCCCTACCGTGGCCGTGATCGCACAGCCGGCCGCGGCGCGATAATGTCGCGGACTCGCGCTCGCGCTCGCACGGCGCGTGGAACGCGTGCGGCCGCGACGGTCCGGTCTCGCCGAGAGCCGGTCGATAAGCGGGAAAACCAGTCCGCCCGGGAAAAGCCCGCGTCTCTCCGACGGTCGTTGTCGCTTCTCCACTTGGATGCTCGGAAGTCGCGAAAAGCGGGCGAAAAGCGGGCGAAAAGCGGGCGAAAAGCACGCCACGGTTGGATTTTACCTTCCGTCTTTCTTACTTTCCTTCCTTTTTCTTCTTCCTTTTTCCAACCAGCCGCACCCGCGCGACGCGGACGATCCGCGTTCTCGTTTTACAGCGTTGTGCACGTATAGCACGTATAGTCGCGCGTTACGCAAAATATACGCAAACGTGAAATAGTTGCGCGTCGTTAAAATGCTATGCAGCGGCCTATTGTTCCGCCCTCACCCCCCCCCTCCCTCCCATCCCGACGACGCGGCCAGGCGTGCACGCTCTCGTGAGAGCGTGCTCTTCGAAAATCGCATTCACCTGGTTGGCTTTTTGTAATGTGAAGTGGCGATCGCCGTTCATTTCCGCAAGATTCAACGGCTTTGTTCTTGCTGCCGCCAGCGGCGCGTGACCGCCGCTGCAGCAAGCGCGGCTATAAATCGCGCGAGTATCATCGCGGAATCGGCTTCCTTCCTGCAGGAAACGCAGCATCGACGAGCGTTCTTGCGGAAAGACTCGGCCGGTCCTCCTCCGGTCCTCCGGCCGATCGCGACAGAGACTCGCGCGCGTGTTATTCTTTTATTTCTTACCGGTATTCCCCGTTATGCATGCCGCCTCCACCGTTATTCCACGAGGGAGCCGCTACGATCGCGTACACAATATCGCGCTGCATTACAAATTATAATTTCGCAAGACGCGTCGCGGCGGCGGCGTCCGATATTTCCAATATTTCACCGTCGCGCGATCCAGCGGGCTGCATTCTCGCGCCGTTCGCGTTCGTTTACGACGATTTCATGCTAATCGTATTCTCAATAAATGCATAATCGTAATGTAATATGCAAACCACCGGCGGCGCCGCGCCGGCCGTCTGGCCAATTTCCGCGAATATCATCGGCGGACGCGTGCACGCGTGTCATCGGACGGTGATTTATCGATCGAGACTCCTGTCGAGCATTTTTGTCCAGGTGTATCTTTAGAAGTTGTGTCTCAAGTCGTCACTCAGCAAACCCTTGAGTGCGCCGCCCTAAAGGAGCTCTCTCTCTCTCTCTCTCTCTCTCTCTCTCTCTCTCTCTCTCTGTCGCCATCTCTCTCTGCTTTTCTCTCTCGTCGGCAACGAAGCAGAGAGAGAGAGAGAGAGAGAGAGAGAGAGAGAGAGAGAGAGAGAGAGAGAGAGAGAGAGAGAGAGAGCACGTTTCTCTCCCTCGTGAGAATCAACATCTCGGCGACTCTTCTTCGCGACGATTCTTCGTTTGACGCGACACATCGAACGATCACACACGCTCGTTGTGTCATCGCACTTGCACCGCCGCGTGTAAACCGAAAAATATCTCGCATAAATTCGAGGAGATGCGTCCGCACTCACCTGGCACCTCTCTCTCTCTCTCTCTCTCTCTCGTTACGGCGAACGTTACGCGTTCGCACACACTTGCGTAATGCCGCGCGATGCAAAATAGTCTGCCACCTCCCGTCTGCGATTATCTCAATATTTTACTTCGTAAGAGCATAAAGAAGAGGACGCTAATTAATCATTGTGTACCGTGTACACATTACAATAATAAGTCCAGATGTTCGACGCGCGCGCCGACTTTATAGGCTACCGTTAACACGCCGTCCCGACACGCTCGAAAATCTCGGAAATACCGCGCGAAGCGATTTATCATATTATTTATAAGCAATTTGTTATAACAGTACAAACATTCCTTCCGCTGAGATCTTTCTTGGCCGGCCCATTGGCGCGCGATCGACAGATCGGCACGACGCTGTAATCCGTAGACAGAGAGAGAGAGAGAGAGAGAGAGAGATTAAAAATGCTTCCCCCCCTCCCTTTTCTCTCTCCTCTTTCACGTCAGGAAATCAATTTCTCATTAATTACCGCGCGGCGGGGAGATCCGTCTGTCCTTGACGCCCACAATGGATTTTTTTCTCTCTCGATCGGCCAACTCGCGAACCGGCTTCATTATACATTCGGCGGAGCGCGCGCGACCTTCGGCATTTCTACTATCGCGAATTTTATTAAGACGACCGGATTATATAAAGGAGGCGACTTTACTCTTCTGCGAAATTGCACCAGCGACCCGCCGCGTCGGGAGAATAACGATCCGCGTTGTCGACATCGTGCGACATGATGACTGGAAAGTGTGCGCGTGTCAGCGACGCCGGGGATATTAGGACGCATTTCTCGAAGATTCATGTCCGAAATTCCACCTGAACGGCACGAATTCTCTCAACAGGAAGTATCTTAAAATGGAGAGACAGAGAGAGAGAGAGAGAGAGAGAGAGAGACTTACGATTGGTAGACGAATCTCTCCGCCTCGATGGCCGAGCGTGCTCTCGCTTGCAAATCATCATCCACCCCGTAGACGTATTCTGCAACAGAAACATGCGGTCGATTGAACATTCGGGTTTCCGAACTTACACTCAATGTCGAGATCAGACTTGGAGCATTATTACATTACAATGAAAAGAAATTTGTCAAGTTGAAATTTGAAATTTTTGCATAGAATTAAATTCACTATAGATAAGTAATATTAGGCAAAAATAATTGCGATTTTTATTATTTCGAAGTTTGACGCCGATTTTTCTAATTACCGCTACCTTTTCCAGAATTCTATCTCGCAGGAGTAAACAAACTTGTTTCCCGTTGGGAGAAACGGATGCAGGCCAGTGGTCTCTATTTCAATTAATAAATGTAATTTTTAGCTGATAAATGCGTCTCTATACTTGATACGTAAGAACCGCAATTGTTAGAAGAATCGACGCCAAACTTAAAATAATAAAAATCGCAATGATTTTTGCACCAATCTGATACTTTTTATCTATAGCGAATTTAATTCTACGCAAAAGTTTCAAATTTCAACGTAATATGAGAAAAATTTTATTTTTCAAGTGCGACAAAATTGGTTGAAATCAAAGTAGTTCTCTTAAATCATTTGATTATTACTTGTTCCAAAACTTTGCAACTTTCATCAATTATACTGCTTCTTCAGGAGGTAATTACCGTCGCTTCGAACTTGAAGTCGCCGGCGCGATCGCTCGAACGAGACGAGGAGACACGTGAATGAGAAGTACGAGGCGAGTAGTAAGCAACGAGATCGCGCTAATCAGGAGCGGAATTTCCTCCGGTCCGATTGTTCATGTAATTTTACAGCGTCGTCACGATCGTAACATCCCGCAAGACCATCCTACGAGCACCGGCTCGTGTGGGAGCGGTCTCACGATTGTCTCGCGTTTCCTTCAAATTTGTAACACCGCCGGCGGTCCGTCTGCTCCGTTGTACATTACACAATTTACCGTTTCGACAATCCGACTCTTGAATGAGCGATAAAGCCGTAAGCCGGCGTAATTCGAAAGAAACATCGCGAATTGCTCAATCCTGATTTCTCGGCGAAGCTCGGGGACCCTCGGGGACTACCTTATCTTTGTCTCTGAATTAGCTTTTATTTTTTCCCCGTCCATTCTCTCTCTAATTTACCACTTTGAGACCCTTAATCCTCCTTTAATCTGTTTCTCTTTCTTTCTCGATAAAACGCGCATTGCGTCATGAATCGGCGAGGATTACGGTACGAACTTCGGCTCTTTGGTAAGTACTAATTACGCGATTCAAGTGTACCAATTTGACAGATACATCCTGGAAAGTGCTGAATAGTCTCGGAGAATCGCAAGCTTAGTCAGCATTCGCGCGCGCGTACGTGCGTATTTTCTCGCAAGTGACTCAACATTCGTGTCCAAAGGTGACGCCGCCAGGGTTGGCCAATTATTTATGTAAATATTGTATGCTAATCAACGGTTATATACTCACGATTTGCTTCGTGTATTTTTCGCTCTTTTTCTCACTCCGGAATTACACACGAATATTTTTACATCCGCGCAAAGTACATCGTTGCTTTCGTTTCAAATATTTACTTGAGATTTATTTGACATTTATTTTATATTTAATATTTAAGCCTTGATACATTCTACAGGTATCTCGAGCATCGTACGCTAAATTCTGCGTCGTCAAAAAGACACGTCTTAAGATAAATGTCCCAGTAACCGAACGTTTGAACATAGATCGTCACGAAAAATATCAATATACGTATAATATTAAGAACAGTTTTGATATAAATATTCGCATTTATTCGAAAACTTAAGGTTCTCTTAAGTAGAGAAAAATGATTTAAACCAATGTCTTTATATCTATTATTAATGAAATATTTATGCGTAAGTAATGAAGCGCATTAATGTACGTAGCAGTGACCGGACAGTTGAAATAAGTTGTAGTCCAATGTACGGATATAATTTGTCCCATCTGACCGCAATTAGAAAATTAATATGCGCCAACGGAAAATAATATGAATACAGATGCCATCTCTTAATGAATTTATTAACGATTGACCATTATTTTGCTAAACCATAGGGGTGCATATTTATTTAATTAATTTTTATTTTAATACAAAAATATCAAATTGGGTATATTTTCTTCCAACTAATCGTCAAGTATTAGAGCTCTTTTTACAATAATTATTACTTTCGTTCATTATTGTTAAAATAAATAGTAAATATTTCTTTTCAAAGTGGCCGGATACTGGGAGGTGTGTTCGGCCATTGGGACGTTTACCTTAAAGCGTAGAAAGAAATGATTGCGTAAAAAGAGACTCGAGCGCTTCCCGCTGAAAATTTGACAGACACTTGCCAGTCAATTTCTCAAATGTAAATACAAAAAACGTATCGTTCACAGCAGCAACATTGTCCCCCCTTCTTACGACCGGAAATTCCGAGATTGAAGCAAACCGGTGAGAATTCAATCGCTTATAACGTCGTGCCCGCCTGCGGTGACAGGCGTTCGTCGGATTTTATTAATCGGTCTCGTTGCGCACGACGGATATATCCGTTCGATAGAGAGAGAGAGAGAGAGAGAGAGAGAGAAAGAGATTGCGCATGCAGCGCGGTAGATCGGCACGTTCACCATAATTAACCCTTCGCAAGATCCAACTCATTATCGACCGCATAGAGCATTCGCGCGGTGTCGCAAGAGACGTCCGGCTGAATTTTCTCGACGAGCGGAGCGGCGCGCGCTAAATCAAACAATCGGACGAGGTAAACGCGTCGCGCGGCGCGACGTCCCGTTAACAATGTCGAACTGCTCGCGAAGACATTACGAAAGGATTGCGCGAGTTCGCGGTGAAATATCGCGGCCGCAACAGACATTAGCGTCTCCGTGCTAAAAGTTGCGCACCGACCGATTGAGTGCAACGCGACAGCGTCCTCCTGCTGTCTTATCTTTTATGCGTTCATCTTGTATAATCAGAAAGAATCCTTCTTCCGTATATACGAATAATGGCGCTGTGATTGCGATTATCGTTTGTCTCTTTTTTACAACGCGACGACGTGTTCTCCGGCACTGAAATGCACTTACCGGAAATGTCGAATTGGCTGACCATCGGCGACAACGCTGACACCACGATGAACAGTGCGCATAGCAGTACCAGGCTGCTTCTGAAACTGCAAGATGAAGATCGCGGATGAGCTTCTGGAAAGCTTGATTTCATTGTTCGATCGCGACACTCGCGGCGAGACCTCGCGCACGTCAGCCTGCAGACGTCGATATGAGAGACAGAGAGGCGAGAAATAATAAAAGGAAAAAAAAAAGGCGGGATTACCGTAGCACGAGGCGTAACATAATTTTCTAAGATAATTATCTGTTTCTCGGCGCGTGACGCGTCGCGAGTGATGCAACGCTAACAAGTGCATATCGCAATTAATTCGCAATTAATTCGCCGGTGCACGTGAGGCGCAGCGGGTCCGCTCGTGCGAATAATGCGTTGTCTGAAGTTTGTCGAAACGATGTTATCCCGTTCACGCGCGTCCTGTCGATCGCGGCGTGCTTTCTGCTCGTTTGGCCGTCATGTTAATTAAACGCGCGTCCAAATTGCTTTTACGAGTACTTTCACGGCGCGTGTATAACCTCATTGTGTTTTCAACACGGCCATTACCATTTCCTCTCCGGCGGCGAGTGCCGGAAGGAATTTTTCCCGCGTTATGTTATTACTTCAGCTCGTGGAAAAGCGTCGGTTGAGCGACGATACGAGCCAGGAAAAAGGCGAGTATCGCGCGATGTATCCTCGAAAATGTCGGCGCACGACCACGTCGGGACTTCCAGGTATAACCGTATGTACTTTCTCTGTACGTATGAGAGAGAGAGAGAGAGAGAGAGAGAGAGAGAGAGAGAGAGAGAGAGAAAGATCAAGAGCAAGCGAGTGGGTTCACCGCGTTCTCCAACACGGGAATTCTCGCTCGCTTTGACCGGTGTTTATTCCGATCTCGATACTCTCGATCTTACGCGCCGAGCCGTTGATCTTCGTGCGCCTTTACTTTCGCGCAAACGATTGTTCCGCGGGGAATTAAAATCAAAGAGGCGATGCAAGCACAACGCGCGCGCACACACACATACAACAATGCCCGGGATTACATGCGACGACACGAAACATGGCGTGATCCGAGCGAACGTTTGATGAAATTAACCTGCGAGAAAGCGGCTCTTCGATCTCTCGCAGACAGTCCGAGAGTCTGTCTCGCCGATCGAACCGTCGACGGGACCAACGACCGGCGGAATATCCAGCCGAGGTATCAAGATGCAAAAGCAAGGACACGTGGGAAATGAAATTCCCAGCTGGACACTGTCGGCTGAACGCAAACATGACGAAAACGTAGCGGGGAAAATATCGCGCTCGTGCGCCGCGCGATTGAGAACCCCTGCCGCGGCTCGCCGCCGCTTTCAACAATAACACGTAGGTGGACGGACCTACGTGTGTTCGCCGGTGGGCACCTGCGGGCGAATCGAAATCAGACGGCAGGCTAGGCGCGTCCAGGAACCTCGTTCCCCGAGCGCCAGGGTAAGACCTTTCACGCTTCCTCCTTTCTGCGGCTCCTTCCGAGCTCGACGAGCGGCGACGAGAGACGGCAGTGAGAGTAGCCGCTTCGTGTACGTCACGTACTAGCTGCGTCGCGGCGGCCTATCACGGGGTTCACCCCGGGTCTACCTGGCCGTGAAACGCCGGTATTTCGGTTGCAAGCGGAGCCGCCGCGCGTCTTCGCGAAGGGACTCTCTCTTTCTCTTCATCTCTTTCTCGGTCCCGCCGTTAGAAACGAAAGTACATATTAGTTTTTACACGTTTGTCGGCGAGTCGGAACGAAGGCGAGTCCGAGCGAAACAGCAGGTGTTTCTCGTACCTGGAAGTTCCCGGGGTTTTTAGCCGCTCCTACGATCGCCAAGTGGAATGTCCGCTCGACCATTTGACGATCGCATTAATCAAGGCGTTTCGTAATGCAGGACGAACGTTCGCTCTTCCAAGTCAATTCCAGCGCTCTCGCAACTTTGCGGTTTTTCAATCCGCGAGTTTCGGCTGGCGGCGAGCTCGTTGACGGAGAGTGCTCTCCCTTCGCGCGGCCGGAGACCAAATCCAAATATGAGCACAGCAATTCACGCACACGAGCGCGAATCGCGCGGCTCACCGCGACAGCAATGAAGACCCGCGCGCGCGCGTCTTCTTTCGCAAAGCCCGAGTTTATTGCGCCGCCCGTCTCAAGTAAGGATCCGCGGCGCTGCAGCGCTGCTGCTGCGGCACCGCCGACACACACCTTTTCCATTTCCGAAGTCGGCGATCACGTTGATAGACATTATCAGCCACGAGATAAAAATCCATTCGTCCGACCTGACCCGTCTCTGCTTTCCTGAGTGCTTGCAATCGCAGAGCCGCGCTCGCTCGTCGGCGCGCGCACACACATCGACGATAATTCAGTGTCAGTAGGTCAACGGAAACTGGAGAAATCTTTCTCGAGGACCCGATACATACGCACGCACGTGCGTCCTCGGGATCTCGCGTCTCGCGCCTCGGGCGGCGCGTCTCCGAAAAGTATCGTCACTCCGAACAGGAACACCTGCGAGCTCGGGGTCGAGCGACGAGGAAAGCTCTCCCGGCGGCGCGGGAAAATCGTTCTAGAAACTAGTTACCTTTTCCTCGCAACTCGAACACCAGCTACGATGTAAGAGATAACCGAGCCCGCGGCGCGTAATGATGTAATTTTCACCGAGCAGCCAGACGAACATGAAACGCTACAATTTCGCCCGAATAATCCGACAAGCTCATGTCGCGTATCTGACTTAGCGAAATTATAATACAGTCCTGTCGCGATAATCTCGCTAAGGATATATCAAACATTATTATGCAAAACAGCGCGAAACAGAGAGAGGGACTCGTGTGTGTGTGTGTGTGTGCGCGCACGCGCGCGAATGTGTACAAGAATTTAATAAATTTTACTCGAGACACTCGAGTTAAAGAAGAGAAAATGCAAAGAGAAATTTCATGTTACCGTTCTCTCGCTCGAACGAGGAAGGAAGTATCGATGCGGATGTATCAGTTACACGAGAGGGGGTCTTCCTTTCCAGCCGGAACAAAAGAATCATTCGCATCGCGAGACGAGGGATCCTCCGCGAGGAGGTGTAATTACGAAAATCGTCGCGGTTCAAGGTTGCCGGGAGCGCGCGCGCGCGCGCGATGGAAACGAAACGGATCGCCATGAATGAATATGAGAGCGGCGAGCGTTAAATTCCTCGAGGCGATAAGTGGCGAATATAACGGCGATGCTCTCGAGGAAGTGGACGCGGGTGAAAGTGCTTATGGGACATTCGCCTGGCGACCGACGCGTTCGCCTCATGAGAGAGAGAAGCCGTTCGCGGCTCGCGCGCACCTTCGCCACGAGGTACGTCCTGTTGCCGTGACACCCGAAGGTCGTCCGTGGACGACCGTCGTAGTGGCGTGACGATTGCAGCATTTCGCTGGAAACTTGCAAAATTCGGCCGGCACGTCGATACGCGCGGACGTCACTCACGGGAATCGCCTCGTGCGGAAACGGGATCGACAAGCAGGGTCAACGGCTAATTCAACGCGTTAATTGGGACTAATTAGCCGAGCTAATTAGACGAGAGAAGAGCGTGCACGCGCTAGATGACGGTGTGATCGCAGGTGCGATCTCACAGTGTCATCTACAACGCGAGTGTTGCATATATTTATCACGCCGTATAATTTAATCTTAATAGCGGGCATCCTATTCTCTCTCTCTCTCTCTCTCTCTCTCTCTCTCTCTTCCCCAGAGATAACGAAAGAAATTGTCTCGTTAAAACGTATCATTATTATTATTCTTATTATTAATTATTGTTATTAATTATTAATTATTATTGTATATAATTATTATTATTTATTATTATTATTATTACTTATTGATCTCGTCGCGTTATTATCGCGGCGAGTGGAGAGGAAACTCGGATCGCGCAACAAGCAAATGCGAATCGCCAATTCGGGAAACCGCTTTTCAAGATTTTCCTATATTTCTCGACGATTCACCATGGAGAAGATATCCCCCCCCCTCCCTCTCTCTCTCTCTCTCGTTATACGCGTTTCGACACCCCGACGGAAATTTCATCGCGCTGACGCGCGTCTCGATCACGATTCCGTGCCGTACGTGATCCGCGGATTGAAGACATCGCCCGCGGAGAACATTCCTGGACGCTCCGGACAAATTCTTTCGTCTTGCAACATCACGAGCTGCCGTAATCCGTCGGACGATAACGTCATCCGCCTGTACCTGCTCGCGGGCTCCTGCGCGTCCTACTACTCGACCGATCGGATGGACGTTTACGTTGACGGGAAAAAGCTCTGCAAAAGTCAGGTACGCTTATCGGTACGCTCCGATGGCGGCCAAATGACATGCCAAGTGACATGACAAATTGATCTCCGCGAGTAAAACGAGTGTCACGAGATGGAAGGGAGACACTGCTAATTAAACACGATACCGTATGCGACGTCCGGAAGCTTAATTAGCGAGACGACGAAATGAAAATCGCGAAACGACCGACGGACAAGTGTCGGAGGAGAAGTTTGTAACGGAAAGCAGCTCTCCTTGACTTGCTCGTCGTCGTCGTCGTCGTCGTCGTCTTTGTCGTCGTCATCGTCTCATCGTGACGCTCACGATTACACCTGCCGGTTGAGCCGCGTCGCGACGTGCCCGCGTAACAATGATCTAATGACTTGTCGCCATGGCTACACACGCAAAGCTGCCCGCGGCAGCTTCTTCTTCTTCTTCTTCGATTCCACGCGGCGATTCCTTTGTCGCGCGCGAGTGATCGACGCGCATAAATCCGCTCGCGTTGCGTCGCAAGTCGCAACTCGCGCTGGCAAACTCGTCGCGGAGTCGTCGTAGAGTTCGGACATTGAACAGTTAATTGAACGGCTAATCTGCACGATGGACGCCCGGCGCCTGCGTGTCCGAACTGGGAAGCGCGTCAGAGGAAATTTCTGACCGCGAAGAAAAGAGCGCGAGGTGGTTTGCGCCACCGCGAAGAAGAAGAAGAAGAAGCCGGCCACGCGATGACATTTGCGCCATCGGAGGAGCTCAACTTACGACACCGTAACTCACATATCGATCATAGCCTGATCCGACCTGAT